CAAAAAAAAAAAAAAAAAAACAATACCAAAATAGCGGGAAGTACTGGTGACTTACTCGCAAAGTACGAGATAAATTAATACACAACGCATTATTCGCCCTCTCGTATTGTAGTGCCGACGCCGGCCACCGTTTTGGCGAAGGGGGCTTAGCCTCTCGTGTTGATGCCGACAGTCACCGGCGACCGTTCGTGTAACGTTGATGCCGTTCGTCCATGTCACTGATCGCCTCACACGAGCCTCTCCGTGGCAAGTGCAACGGGGTTAGCAGAGCTGGCTGACAATGCCGGAGTTTTGATGCTACTTTCCTCATTAGGGGTTGCTTCCGCCACGCTGCGAGCGAAGCCCCCCCCCTAATGTTCCCAATGCGGTAACCGACGTTCACCAGCAGAACCACCCCGCCCTAGCCACATAAACCCGACGACACATCTCCTGCAACCACCGGTAGTGATCGAGAAAGTTTGGAAAATTTGTGGTTCACTGTTGATTTCTTGTCGTATAGTTTGTTGGGTTTGTCAGACAAAAAGCCACAGTATGCACTGATACGGCTGAGTAATTGAATTTTGGACTATAAATTGACCAGATATAGAGCACTAAGTAAATATGACTGGCGTATCCACTAAAGGGATCCATGGGGCGGACCACTTGGCTCGAGTTCCTGATGTCGTGCCTCCAATCAATATCAGTGCAACCTTCCGATATGATGACGACCCTGACACTTGGGTTAAAGCTGAAGACGGCGGGAAACCATTGCTCGACAACTATCTATATTCCAGAGTCTCTCATCCTAATTCTGAACAAGTGGAAGCCATTGTTGAACAAATTACGGGGTACCCAGCCGTGGTCTACTCGGGAGGCATGCCTGCTTACAATGCAGCATTAACATACTACGACCCCAAAACGATCGCCATTGGCCATGCCTACCACGGGTGTAGGGGCCTTGCCAATCTCTGGACGCAAAAGTTTGGTACCAAACAAATTAGTATTGATGACGAATTTGGGGGAAATATTGGTCAAGGAGACTTGGTCCATTTGGAGTCACCAGTAAACCCTTGGGGCACCGCAATCGACATTCAGGCCTACGCTGATCGAGCCCACAAAGTCGGTGCTATCGTGCTTGTTGATGCCACTTTCGCCCCGCCTCCCATTCAAGACCCGTTCCAACATGGCGCCGATATTGTATTACATTCAGCCACAAAGTATTTTGGGGGCCACTCTGATTTACTTGCTGGTTTACTCTTAGTCAAAGACGCTGAGACGAAGAATAAATTGGTTAAGGAAAGAGTGTTGTTGGGTACCAATATTGGTAGTTTGGAGGCGGCGTTTTTACTCAGATCGTTGCGTACATTTGACTTGAGAGTGGAGAGACAATGGCGTCTGGCCACCGCCATTGCTCAGCATCTTAACGATAACATTGACAAGTTATCCAAATTGACCAAAGTTTACCATAGTTCGTTGCAAACAGAGCCATTTGTGGCTAAGCAATTGGTGAATGGTCACAGCCCCGTATTATCGATCGAAGTGACCGATGAAGCCACCGCTAAACTGATCCCTGGCAAATTAAAATATTTCATCCATGCCGTCTCGTTAGGAGGAGTGGAGTCCTCAGTTCACTGGCGAGTATTATCTGATAAAGCTATTGCTCCTAATGTCATCAGAATCTCGGTCGGAGTAGAAAACGTCGACGATCTCATTGCCGACTTAGACCAGGCATTGACCTAGAAGGATTGTGTAGGCTCGTTTATATGAATGCTATGATTGTCTCGACCGGTGGTACAAGGAGTTATGGTAGAATACATGGTGTTCGTCGTCCGGGTGGGCCTCCAGGGCCACACTGATATCCTCGGAGTCGTCTGATCGTTGGAACTGGCGAAGGGGTATATCGGGTCCAACGTTGTAAGTGAAGCCGTCATCACTACTTCGGTCCCAGTCCAAATTGGATACGAGCTGAGGGCGCATTCTCATATCGTCATTAAGATAGACATGGTCATCATCAAGAAGTTTGCGAGTGCTAATCAGTCGTTTCATAAAACACACTAACGTCGAAATGAGAGCGTGGGCAATGATGGGAAATAACTGGATCCAGCCGACATACGATAAGTTGGAAATGAACAAAAGGATATCAGCTAAGAAGGCGAGCAATGTCGTCAAAAACGATAACAATGAAAACACAAGCATCCAGTCCATAAACGGAGCGAATTGTTGGTATGATATTCGTTTATAATAGTGGTGGTCATGCTTATCGAGGTGCGAATCATCGACGGCGGTTTCCCCTGAAAGCATCGGCTGCGATACATCATCGCTTTTCTCCTCTTTCGCTAGCAGACCTTTCACTTCTTGCATCACCAACATCGCCACCACCAAAAGGAATTGTACTGCCGATATGCCAAACGCCACCACATGGACCACAAGCAATTTCGAGATCGTCAGCTGGATATTCAGCGGGAGCTCGGCCACCGAGTACTCGTCGTTGACGTTATAAAACGAGTCGTTTATCGCTGGGTAGCCGATACGAGCCACCGAGCAATTGTTTGAGTTCAAGTCACAGATGCCAAACACTCCGAACAGGTAGTTCTGGTACTTCGACAAGTAGAGGTTAGATCGTAGGCCTGTAACTGGCACCAGGATCACCGGGAGAAGCAGGAACACCGTACACATGAGTGTGAGGAGAGTGAGGGCCAAGAGCCATTTCTCCATAGGTGTCTAGCTAGTTGGGATAGGTATAATAAGAAGTTTCGTTTGATCTCGCAGGGTTTATCGCTATCATCTTTGGTAGCCACACGACTTCCACCTTTGATGGTACAGTGAATAGAGGTGTTTCTGGTCGCACTCCCCACATTCACGTGTAATGATCAAATACGTACTTTTCACCATCGTCTTATCCATTCTGCTACCGTTTCTCCGCCACCTCATGTCCTCTGCTCACGCGTACCAATTGGAGCTCCAGGTAGCCCAGCTTGCTGTCAAAAGAGCGCTGGTGCTCACTAAGGCTCTCTCCGACCACATTGCCACCACCCGCCAACTGGGGACCCAAATTAAGGACGATAAGCTGCCTGTCACCGTCGGCGACTACGCGGCGCAAGCGATTGTCAACCATGCTATTAAAAAGAACTTCCCTAACGACGAGATTGTCGGTGAAGAGGATCTGGAGGACTTAAAGGCCGATGCTAGTCTCAGCAAACAAGTGTTTGAATTGATTCAAAAATACCAACAAAGTGATAAATTCAGCGATGTTTTGGGGTCGTTGGACTCAGAAGAAGAAGTGTTCAAGTCTATTGACTACGGTGACTCCCAAGGTGGAGCTCAAGGTCGGTTCTGGGCGTTGGACCCGATTGACGGTACTAAAGGGTTTTTGAGAGGTGACCAGTACGCCGTATGCTTAGCTTTGATTGAGAACGGTAAGGTGGTTTTGGGGGTGATTGGTGCCCCTAATCTTCCGGCTCATATCATTTCCAACACCGAACTGCTGGGTGCCATTGGTGGTCTTTACTCTGCTGTTAAGGGTTATGGCTCCTACGTCACCGACTTGTTCTCCGCTGACGCTCCTCCTGCGTTGGATAAACAACGCAAGATCGAAATGAAGTCGACTACTGACCCGAAGAAGTTGGTGGTGTGTGAAGGTGTTGAAAAGGGACACTCATCGCACTCCGAACAAGCCCAGATTAAAGACATTTTGGGTATCCCTCAAGACTCGACCATCAACTTGGACTCGCAAGTGAAGTACTGCGTGTTGGCCAAGGGCGAGGCCGACATCTACTTGCGGTTGCCGATCTCCGATACCTACCGGGAAAAGATCTGGGATCACGCTGCCGGTAATATCTTGATCACCGAAGCTGGTGGTCGTGTGGGCGATATCACTGGTACTCCTCTCGACTTCTCCAAGGGCCGCTTCTTACAATCGCAAGGGGTGATTGCCGCCAACTCTGCTATCTATGATAAGGTGATTGAAGCTGTTCAACAAGTGAAGAAGTGATTTGATTTGATTTTTGGCATACATACAGGTAGTCATGACTGGGTTCATTGGCATTACTGAAAATTTCCATATATGTACATAAGTTATCTCTATTCGTAACTGGTGAAGAGGCCGCCCCCAGGACCGCTACGGGAGTGACGTGAGAAGTAGTCGAAGTCGATGGAGACAGCGTTGGCTAAAAGCACTGCCCGCTGGTCTAAGGTCAACGGACCGGCTACCAGAGGGTAGCGGTCACCCATGCCTTCAAAACTAGCAGGATCCATGCGAACGATATACACACCGGTATCGGTGAAGAACTCACGACCAAGCCCCACCCAGTTTCTGTCCACTGAACCAATGACATCATTGCGGGCATTGTGGACGGGGAATTCAAACGATAAAAATGGTGCATCAATCTTACCAAACTGTTCAAAGTCGTCGGTGACTTCATCCTCAAGCTTGAACAAGTTATAGCGACGTCTCCACAAGTGCCAACTTTGGATCAGCTCGCCAATCTCTTCAAACACTGGTCTGCCATGTTCATCAACCCCGGGTAAAAGCGCCTTAATATGGGAATTAATAAACGCAAACGGTCTCTTAATGGTAAGCACGTGGTCGCCGTACATGTTGAACACATCGACATTAAACGGACGGTGCAATCTCATGAATTGACGACCCATCACTCGCATGATGCCAAGGTCCCGTTCTTGCATGTAGCCGATCTGCTGGCCCATCAGGTTCATGATCTTGTAATAGTTAGCCTGTTCGAACCCCAAAAAGATATTCATCATTTCGATTTGGCGCTCAATCACTAACGTGGGCTCTTTAAGGATATCGTAGACGGGGTCTTCCGGGGTGATGATGCCATTGGGGTTAGGGGGAGACCCAAACACGGTGCGGTGCTGCGAAGGGTCGCCTTCATAGTACTGGTAGTCGCTCAGCGGTTTTGTTTGGTAGTACTGCTGGTTACTAGCGCCACTCGTGCCTCTTTGCGCCTGTTCCGCTTTGAGCTTTTCCCGAAATCGCTGAACTTCTTCCGGTGATATTTCTTTAGCTTGGCGGGTGTGGTTGGCTCGGGGGAGCAGCAACCGCGCCAGAGTGGTCAATTGTCGCAATAGTCTTCGTGTAAGCATGGTGGCGATGGAAGCCTCGGGATCACTGAGGTTGCGAATGTCTATTGAGGGTGTATGTGGGTAAGGGCTCCAAATTATGTATTGAAGTCGAAGAAAGCAAAATAATGAAAATTCACAACCTATTTGCAAGTCATTTGGATTATAACTACAATTGGTTAATTTTTCACTCACATAACTGAGTTCTGATTAAAAATTCAGCCACCTTGTAGTTTGTGGCCTCGGGCTATGCCGCACGCATTTTGACCACGCGAACAGACGAACACACGTCGAGTCCCAAGCTAATCACTACCACCATCATGGGCGAGCTGTACGAGAAGTATTCCAAGCTCTTCCACGTGGAGTCGGTCCCCGTCAAGATCGACAACTCGGCCCTGGTCGCCAAGACCCTCGGGTTGCTCATCCTCGGTAAGTTCAATCAAAACTTCATTATATTAATTTATCACTTGATTCAATGACTAACCTCTAGCGTTCACCTCGTTGGCGTTGATGTTTGTGGGGGACAAGAAGCGGAACCCGGTGGCGGTCATCGTCAATGCCGCCGTGGCGTCGCTCGCCGTCGGGCTCAGCGCCGTCTACGTGTCCAACTTTGTTGGTGTATATGTCTAACCTTGTAACGAACTAATAGAAGTATAAATGAGAGAAAACATAACTTAGTGTAGGTAACTAGACAATTAAGGTGGTGACAGACGCCCCATTGGATATAAAGCCACTACAACACCATTGCCGTTCGCGCAAAAACGTTATGCTCTGTCACTTCATCGGGCTCCTCCTGTGGCTAGCAGCCGTCATTGCCGCCGGCTCCTATCTGCGTGATCCCAATGTGTTTGAGCTTACCCCTAAGACCTTCGATAAAGTCGTTCACGGTCTGAATTACACCACCGTGGTCGAGTTCTACGCCCCCTGGTGTGGCTACTGCCAGAAACTCCACGGCAGTTACTCGAAATTGGGCAAGTTCGTCCACGACGACAGCCAGTACGCGATCAACATTGCGGCGGTGAACTGTGACGACGATGTCAACCGCCCATTATGCGCTGAATACCGCATTCAAGGGTTCCCCACGGTGATGGTGTTCCGCCCTCCGCGCCATGATGGCTCCTCCAAAAAGACGGACACGCGCCACATCTCCGAAGTGTACCAGGGTGAACGGTCGTTTAAGGCCATTCTTAACTTTGTCACGTCAAGATTGAAGAACTACGTGAAGAAATTTAAGCTTGACGGGACGATATTGCCCAAATGGTTAGCGGAAACCCTGAATGAGAAGCCGCGAGTACTCTTGGTGACTAAAAACGCTCAGGTATCTCCCTTATTAAAGCTGTTGGCCATTGACTACTTAGAGAGAGTGGACTTCGGTATTGTCCCTGCCAAGCAGCCAGTGGAGCAGTTTACTGTGGGTGACGAGGTCGTCGAAATCGAGGAGGCAACGTTGCCGATGTTGGTGCATTACAATAGCAAGACTAAACTGTTTGAGAAGTTCCCCGGCGCTAAACTCAACGACAAAACTAAGATCGCCCAGTGGGTGACCAAAGTGACTGGCCAGAAACCTGCTGAGGGCAGTTTGCTGAAGTTGGGTAAGAAACTCTATAAAATCCGTACCGGTAAGAAGGCTCCCGCCAGCGACTTTGGCGATGAGCTTTAAGACGACTTCAGCTTTTTTTTAAGCCTTGCCGAGGTTGTCCATCATATCAAGCAAGTCGTCGAGCGACTCCTCCTTCTTTTCCTCGGGTTTCGCCGCATCCAACGACTCGATCCAGTTGCACACCTGTTCGACATACACCTTGGAATTAGGCACAAAGTGGCCGCCGGGGTGTTTCAAAAGGTCCAGCTGCAGCTTGTAGTAGTTATACAATGATAACAGCCGTTCTTCTTCCACCACCGTGTCTAGTTCACCGTAGACAGTTAAAAGCTTAAGCGAGCCGGGAAGCTTATCCGCGTAGTATTTAGCGTACTGTTCGTTACCGGATTTCTCCGACGTGTCAAGCTTAAAGCCCGAGTATAACACGCAGAACTTCAATTCGGGCTTACCAAAAGTTTCCTTCCATGTCAGCGCCACTAAACCCGCCATCGCTGCCCCTTGAGAAAAACCAATAAGCCCCACGATGGGGAGCTTTCTCTCTTCTTCGGTTTCAGTGGTGTCTTTCATATCGGGGTCTTCAATAAGCTCTTGTTTGTCAACGTAGTTGCGGATAGTGTCGAACGCTGCCAGCATGTCGACATCACTATTGGTGTGCTTCTTTTTCACCCACCACGCCCTGAGGTTGTTGTCTTCATCGTCTTTGACCACGGTGTTGAAATCGCCGAGGGATTGCGGGAGATCGACCCCCGTCAACTTGAGCGGGCCCTGGAGGTAGACCACTTTGTAGCCAAGCTTGGTCAACTTTTTGCGGAGCGCCAGCGACTTGGCGTAGAAAATCGACGCCAGCTGGGTGTAGCCATGAAGAAACAAGATCTTCCCTTTTAAAACTTTTTGCGTCGTCGTCATTTTTAATGGTATCTGGTTAGAGATCGAAGTCAACTTTAGTGAGATGACCACGTCCTGCACAGAGAGAGGGTAACCTAGAATGAAGTGTATATTGGAGGTGACGAAAACTACGCTACTTTCGACACAAGCTGACCGAGGTCAAGAATATTGTCTATCAAAATGATTCTATTTTCGCCCCTGTACTCCGGTTCCTTCTGTAACCGGGCGTAGGTGGCGGGGTCCTCGACGTAGTGGACGACGTGGCCAAATCCGATCTTGGCCGCCGCCTTGACGTTGATCTCCAGGTCGTCAACAAACCACTGGTGGGCCATGACGCTGGCGTTGTCGACGTCAACGTGGGTGGTCTTGAGGAAGGACAAGAAGTACTGGGGCATCGGCTTACAGATGATGGGGTTCTGGGAGTAGTCACAGAAGGTCAAGCCGTCAAAGATGTCGCCCAAGCCGAGGAACGAGATCACGCGGAGAGCGTGGTTGCGGTAGGCGTTGGTGACGAGCCAGAAATAGTCAAAGTGCTGTTTCATGTCCAAAAGCATATTGCGCAATTCCTCATTATAGTGAAGCACCCCTTTCAATTCTATAGCGTCGTCCACCGCTGAATTGTAGGCCAAGGCGTCGACGTCGTGGTTGCGTACAAGCCCTTCGAGGGCCAAGCCGTATTTTTTGTAGTAGTTCATGTGGAGCTCGTGGGCACACTTGTCGTCCAAGTCCAAGAGCTTTTTGAAGTAGGTGTGGATCTTTTCCTGCATCAAGTCGTGGATTCGTGTCAGCCGGGGGTACAAGCAGTTGTCGATGTCGAAGTAGAAGATCTTCTTGTTGGTAGCGGGTAGAGGACCGTGGCCAAAGCGGAGGTCGACCACCTGGCCGGGGCGCACCTCATCGCGGGGGATCTCGGGGTTCTCGTAGTGGACGGGTGTCGGGGCTGCTATCTCGTCAACCGTCATTTTTTGTGTTGTTGTGTGGGAAGGCAATGCTAGCAATATCTCAAATATATGTTAGAGGTAAGGATGACACATTTTGTACAGGTCAATTGTGAGCACGTGTATGATGTGCCGAAAAGAAATGCGGTTAGTCATAGTGCGTGGGGTTCCCCGGACCGAACGCTTATACGCCGGACCGCCGAGACGGTCAGCGGTGTAGTTTACGACGCTTCCGCTGCTTATCGCCGTAGAAAATATCGTCGTTGACCAACCCAATTTTCGTTTCGAGCACCATGATCCAGAACAGCACCACCCCCAGCCCCCACGCCATCAATCGCTGGTGCGGGTACTCGCGGCGGTTGGCGTCGACAAACTGGTTCTTGAACCGGGCGTAGATGTCACGTATTTTGATTAAACGAGCGGTGGTCTCGGTCTGGGCGGTTGGGGTCAATTGATGACTGATGAGTGGGGTCAATGCGGGCACCGAGAGAGCGGCCCCCGCCACCCTGTCCGGGAGCCGGAGCCGAGCAATGTGGTCGAGCGCATGCAACGAGCTGTCACCAAGCACTCCGGCGTGACTAGGTCGCAACTGGAGCTGATCAATCGGCGGGTACCGCTTAGGCTTGGGCGGCTTGCGGTGACGTTCACGTGACACGGGAGTAATGGGAGATGTGGTAAGGGGGGTATTAGATTGGGTTGAACTGGGAGTGAGTTCGGGTTCGGGGGTGGTTTCGAGTGGGGTGGACTCGACGGCATCGGTATCGTCGGCATCCACCAAACTGTCGTTGACGACACTGGGGGGTTCGGGAGACGGATCGGGCACGTCTTCGGCCTCTAGTCTCTTTAACAACTCCTGGAATAAGTCCGGCATTCCCGCCAGCATGAGCAAGTCGGTGACGTAGATGAGATTAAAGTGGTGGTCGCGTACACACTCAGCCTCAAGGATCGCCGCCACTACCGCCGACATGTGGTTGTTGTTTAACCGTGTCACGAGGTCAATGGTGGCCTGAGTTATTTCCTCGCTAGCGTAGCGCTGGACGTTATAGTCACACATCGCTCGTACTAGTATGCCAAACACACGGTGGACGTTGTCTTCATTCCACAGGAACTGGTACAGCGCTCGTAGAAGCCAGTGGAGCTTAAGCACAGCGAGTTTGATCGAGTTGTGGTGGTGGACAAGCTTAAACCGGTTCACCTGGTTGGCCCCGATATCTTTAAAATACTGATCAAAGTTCAAGAAGATGGTGGCCCCCCATCTTGTGGGTTTATTCATGTAGCGTTTCATGGCTGGGTACTGGTTGGTAAGAAGGATATCGTCAATTGAGTCGAGGCGGCGGATATTAAATGTTTTCTTTGGTTCTGCGAAATAGTAGTAGTGACGATCCATCGGTTTGACGCCTGCCTGGTAATCCTGGACCTCACTGTCATGAATAGTGAACTTCTTATATTGTGGGATGCCATTGTCGTTGAGTTCATCACAAATCTGTTGGCGTTTGAGGATATGGGCCTGGTGAGCCTGTTGTTTCTGTTCGGCCGCCGCCTTAGCATTTTTTAGAATCTGGGTCTGCATCTGGTAGATCCGGTGGTTCTGCTGGCCTCGGCTCTTGAAGATCGCCGGCATGTCGTCGGCATCGTCGAACGGCGACTCCTCCAGCCGGAGTTTTCGGCGCATCAATGTATGGGGTTGATGGCTCGATGTCTTATCTACGCGCGCGTATTATTGCCGATCTTCGGTGTAATTGATGCAGTGATGTTTAATGATGCGGAAGTGTCTATGCTAATTTTAGGGTTGGCGACAGCGCTATAAGGCGCTCCATGTAGTAGCACTGAGGCTTCTTGATCCGGCCCCGGAGGACGATGTCGGTGGGGCTGCTGCGGCTGAGACGGTAGCCAAGTTTGGTGTACCATACTAAAGCCCGATGGTTATCGCTAAACACGGTGAGACAGGTGGCCTGGAGCGGGTACGGGTAGGTGACGGTGGCGGTGAGCTGGTGGACGCCGTTGATCAAGTAGGCGCCGAGGCGCTTGCCGTGATAGCGCGGCAATACGTGGATCTCATATAGGTAGAGCACCACCATGCCGTCGTTCAGCACCACTTTCACAGTGACAAACGCTACTGGTACCTGGCGGGCGTCCTCGATCCACACGTAGACGATCCCCGGCTCCCGCATCTCCATCTGCTTCTCCAACGTCCACTGGTCGCCCTTGTGTTTGCGGTAGAGCGGCGCCATCGTCAGCTCGATAAGGCGCAAAAACGGCGCCACGCCCTCACCCGTTTTCACCACCTCCGTCGCCGGCGCCCAGTGGAGCAGGCCCCAGGGAGGCTCACCGAAGCACTCACCGACGTGGTCACACACGTGAGCCGCCACCCGGCGCATGAGGGCCCGGTCAGTCTCGTCGACACTCATGGGATCGAGATCGCAAACTGCGGCGGCGGCGCCCTGTCGAGCGACGGCTGCGCAACCATCGCGCAACCCATTACTAACTACACTTTTCGATTAACTACTGATCGTGGTGTATGATTGACTATGATTCCTCCTGGACGGGGTTTTTGGCGTAGAAAAAGTTGACGCCAAGCAACTTGGAGCCCGCCCCGTACTTATTGATCCAGTCCCGCACCCCCAGGCCGGCGACGCCGGTGCCCCACGTCGGTCTATCCTTGGGCGGGTGGAGCTTGGCGGCTTGCGCTTGTTTGTAGAGTAAGAACACGTAGCGGTGCTTGCCGGTGCTGGGCGGGGGCGCCGGGCCCTCGTAGGGGACAAGCTGGGTGGCGTTGGCGATGTCGAGGGTGTGGATGACGTCCTCCTTATTTGCGGGCGGGCTCAATGGGATGTCGGTGGCTATCCAGTGGCAGTATTCCAGCCACTTATGGTCGTGGTTTGACGGGGCGTCGGGGTCAGTGAGCACCACCATAAACTTATCTTCGGGCTCAAACAGCTCCGTCGTGCCGTCCTGGTTGGGACTGTTGAGGGTAAACAGCACCCGGGGCGTGTTCTGGGTGGCGTCGACGGCAAGCTCGTTGCCCAACGTCACGCGGTTGCCGTTGTCGTAGTCGACGGAAAGCAACCCCTGAGTGTCGAACTCGTCGACGACGTCGGGGACGATCTTGTGGGTGGTGTAGCTTTCGTTGAGCAGCTGGGAGATGGTGATGAGGCTCCGCAGCGCCACGCTGGGGGCGAATGTCCTCCACGGACCAAGCGCCGGCCGGAGACAGCGACTAAGCATGATTGGTGTGAGTGTGGTTACCCGTGTGGCTCACGGGAAAAAATTGCGCCAGCCGCAACGAAACTTGGGGTACAAACTGAGTTAGTCAGCGAATGTTGGGGAAAAGAAAATAAGGGGAATTGAGTTGGAGTTAGGGTTTATGGATTACGTGGTCCCTAAATAGATCTATGTAGTTATCCGTTAACGTGTATGGGTTAGGCCAGAAGGGGTAACCAGAGACACTTAGATGAAGTATGGTATTGGGTGACGCCACCGATGATGACGTTACGCGTGGTATCATCAATATCGGTAGTGATATCGGTGCCTGATTTGCCCATCAAAAGGTTGAGGTAAACTAAATCAGCAAACTTCCGTTGACTAGCTCGAGCGGGATCGAACTTTGTGTTTGAGCCATTAGACAGTTTATCGACAACATCTTCAGCAGCTTTATCGGCAATTGCTTCCGTATTGTCATCAGTGACATCTTCCTTTTTTCCATCGGTGATATCTTCAGTGGCATCTTCAGCAGCTGCTTTGTTAGCTTTATCAGCAGCTTTGTCATCTGATAAGTCGGTTTCTTTAGCCTGTGTAGTAACTCCGTTTGTCGACTTTTCAGTACCGCTATCAGTGTTGTCGTTTGTGGTTCCATTGGGCGACACCGTCTGATTTTGGAATTTCTCAAAGGCTTTAGCAAGCCATTGGTTCTTCTTCAGCTTGAATAAATCGTGTACCAGTTCATCAAGAAACAATTTACCGAATTTTCTCTCAGTGGACCCGCCCAGTAGAAGTTTTTGCGTGATTTGACTGATTGCCAGTCGTAATTCGATCGAAGGCGTCAAGGGTACATCCTCTTCACCTGAATCGGTATAGTTGACAACAAATGTTGAGTCAATCTTTTCGATGACCAAGTCGTACAACCGATTCAACAAGGTATCAACACGTGACAAAGTATCAGTGATATCACTAATGCCATGAGTCTTTTCTTTGATCACTTTAAGAGCATCCAAATAGAAGTAAACCTCATCAGTTTGGTCATGCTTCACCGGACTCAGATCGCGATCTATATTGTCAACAATATCGGCCAAGTACTTGTTGAACAATTTGTGTGACTTATCCTGGACTGCCTCGAGTTTCTTTTGGATCACTCCCGATGTAAATCCATCGATATCGTTTGCTTTGGTAACTTTTAACAATTGTGAAATGATACTATCTTCATCAGCAAAGCGCATTACTGTACAAAATGACTTGTACTCAGTGATCCACTTGCCTACCGCGTCAGCAACGGGAGATGATCCTCCCAGTGTTATCGCTGAAACCACCTTGAGGTACTGGTCGATGTCAGAATCCATTAGTTTCATGGTATCAGCAGAAAACGGTGATGGGATATGCAAGGATAACGTTTTTTTGGCCACGGCTTCTAGAGCTGCTTTGTGTCCTTGCTGGAAGTACCGCTCAAAGTGATGGAGGATAACCTCAGTCACTGCCACTAGAAGATCACTAAACTGTGTCAGTTTATCGATATGAGTCAGCAAAAGTAAGGTGGTATCAAAGTTGGCGTAAAAGTCTTTGATGCCGAAATAGTCCAAAGCAAAGCGAGCGAAGATATTGGCGTTATGGGCAATGGCAAGGGCTGAGTGGGGCGTTTGCCGGTCTATTAGTTTTGCAACCCAATCAAACATGGTCTTAATCAATTGATCAAGCTGATCGGATGCATTTGAGAATAAGACATTGTCACCGGAATAAGTGACATCTTCATTCTCAAGCCAGTTTTTGTAGCCAATGAAATCACGACTTTTCCAGGGACGAGTGGTCAAATTGAGTACTTTATGGTAGTCACTGGAAGTGTTCAGTACGAGGTCAGCGTACTCAAACGTTGCCTCAACATACTTGATGGCATGGACAAAAGACACACTATCAACATCGGCAAATTTATCCACCACTTCTTGCCAATAATTGAGACGAAGTTCGACCAAAGCCTTACCAATATCAATATCACCATCAGGGGCAAGAAGGATAGTATAGGCCACCAAATAGTTGACTATAGCCGCAGAGTGAGAGGTGACGACATCGATATTGGGGTATAACACTGCTGTTTCTTTAAGCAGAGACACGTCATCATCATCACTACCAGTGGTATCATCGTCATAGTAGCTGTGGTCTCCAGTTAAATGCAGCTTGTCAAATACTTGTGACAGGTGCACGGCATCCGAGGCGATTTGGTGGGGCAGAAGCACGTTATACGATCGTATACGGTCCTCAAGGTATTTGCGGTAGCTCTGTTTAAGTTTCCGGAACCACAGATCAAGCAGAGGGTCCAGCTCCAAAAGATCATGGAACTTTTGGCCGATAGTATAAAACACTTTGGCATGGTGGATGAACTGGGAGGTGTGGCGGATCTTGAGGCCGCCAGTCAACAACAAGTCGACCTTAAGCAACCGGTTGTTGATCAAATTGCGGAGAATATTGCCCTGGTTGTCGGCTCGAGCCTGGGACGCCAATGCGGCTCGTTGACGAGAATTGAACTTGGAGCGGGGCGAATCGCCAAAGGGAACAAACGTCTGTTGCCGGTAAACCAATGACGACAACGCATTATCAATATCTCGCCCTTGGCCGTACAATTGGTTGATATCCTCGGCGATCTTGATGAGGTCGCGGTACTTGGAGCCGACCAAGTCGTATAACTCGGCGGAGGCCTGGTCGATTTTCTTCGAGTAGCCATCGGCAATCTCCTTAGCCTCCGCCACCGAGTACTTGCTGAAGATCTCGTCGACGCTGAGCGCAGTGTCGTCTGCCATCGTCGCCATGTATCGACTCGTCCTACCGAACACGTCCCCAGTGCGACTCGAACAATCGGAGGTTAAGGGAAGCGTAACCAATGTGGAATAGAGTCAGAGGAGAGTTGTATTTGTTTCGGAAAGCGTAACTGGTTGAGTAAGATTAGATTATTGGCAAGTAGTTGATTGAACAAGTGTAATTGAGGAGTTGTTGATAGTGGGCAACTATAGCCAAACCAAGCTGATTATCAACTATAAACCGAATACACCAAAGCTGTAATCACGTTTATTCATCTTGCCAACATATTGAAAGACTAATCATCAAGAAAGCTAGACTGTTGTGGAGAGTAAAAACTCAAGATTCGTATCTTGCTGCAACGATCAAACGGGGTGCCAGACGCGGCGCGAATTTCTAAATTCAATTCCCTTGTGTACCATTATTTCCCATGTCTAGTTCCACTGCCGACTTCAAGCCAGAGGAGTGGACGACGTCACTGAACGACGCCCTCAAGCTCTACATCACCGACAGCCAGGGGGCAGTCAACATCCAGCCGCAATTCACCTACCCGATCTTCGGCGATGCCGAGACCATCTATGGCTACAAGGACCTTGTCATCTTCCTCTGTTTTGACCACTACACGTTTTACCCGTTCCTCAACATCAAGTACAGTCTGAAGCTTAATGATGAGGTCATTGACATCAAGAAGACGATGCTTGAGTACTTGCCAGAACTGACAATATATAAGGACGAAGAGAAGTGGGCCGACGCCACCAAGGCAGAGAAACAGACTTATAAGATTCCAGGGAAACTGGTAGCGCTGTTTACTACTGATGTTGACGGTGAATCTGAAGAGTTTAACCTCTACTTAATCGATATGAAGCTGGATGCTGGTCGCGAGCTTCACAACCGATTGCAGATTATGGTGTTGTTGTTTATCGAGGCCGGGCTGTACATCGATGCCAACGACCCCCACTGGGAAGTGTACGTGCTCTACCTGAAGCCTAAGGACGGCGAAGAGCCGCTGATATGCGGTTTCACCACCGTGTACAACCACTGGCGCTACGAAGGGGCTGAGAAGTTTGACGCCACTACCGACGTCAAAGTACGCAAAAAGATTAGCCAGTTCATCGTGTTACCCAACTGGCAGGGCCACCACTTAGGGCTGCTGATGTACAAGCAACTCGTGCGCCAGTGGGTGGCGTCGCCCCAAGTGGACCAGATCGTCGTCGAGGACCCCAACGAGCAGTTCGACGACATGCGCGACCGGCTGGACCTCGAGATGCTTAGCGATGCCGTTGACTTGGATAAGGATGTCACTCCGGAAGCGGCGGTAGGCTGGCGCGACGCCACGCGGCTGCGGCTTAAGCTTGAGGCCCGCCAGTTTGCTCGGCTTATCGAGATGGTATTGTACAAGAAGTACGGCGACAGCAAGGCCGTGAGGTTGTTTATCAAGCGGAGATTGTGGCAGAAAAACCGCGAGGGTTTGGTGTTGAT